CTCCTCCTCCTCCTCCTTCCTTCTCCTCCTCCTGCTCCTCCTCCTCCTCCTCTTCCTCTTCCTCTACTGCCGCTGCTGCTGCGCCGCCTTCTGCCTCCTCTATATTGAAAGCACAGCTAGGTGTATAAGAGAATGGCCTTGCTTGGAAGTGAAATCAGACATCACCAGACACCCACTGGCACTGCAAAGCACAATGTCCTGACTGAGTGATTTAGGGCCAGCAAACCCTTAATTCATTCTGGTTTCTGGAGCTGGAAGTCCGAGGTCCAGGCACCCGTGTGCGGCCCATTCTCACTTGGTTTGCGAGGAGGAGAGCCGCTCTGCCGTCCTTTCTCAGCTCCCCCTCCCTCCCCCCACCTTGGGCACCTCTGCATTGAGGATTATGTTTCCAGCAGGTGACTGGGCAGGAGTGGGGGGTGGTGGGGGCAGAAAATTCAACCCAGGACGCTCACCCACTGTTTCTGCAGTACAGATCTCCATGTCGTATTCTGAGTTCCCTTCTGCTACTTTTAAGATGGGGTTCCTACGGATGTTGGTGACAAAACCCTTTCTTGTAAGAGGTAAGCGGGCTCCCTGCTTACCTCCCAATGAACTGCCTCAGGTGGACCCCAGCTCTGCCCTCGCAGGCTGGGCGATCGGAACGAGTCACCCGTCTGCTGTCTTAACAGCAGCACTTGCCTCACAGCTGACGGTCTACTCAGCATGTGCAAGCCCAGCCCCGGGGGGTCAAACCCGCCACGGGTCAAAAATGCCCACAACCGAAGAAAGTGCATCAGGAATCAACATGAAACAGAATTCTTTCACTTTAAAAACTGTTTGCATATACCACTTTTGTACAGTTAGCAACAGTAGGAGAGATTTCGTTGCGACGTTTCCACGCATGCACACAATGAAGTCCAATCAACCTCCCTCTCATGGATTTTCTTGTCATCGTTCCCTAATCAATACAGCATACCAAATATTTATGTACCTTTTTATTAAGTATGATTTAGGGTACACAGGAGGGTGCCTGCAGGTTCCATGCGAATACCATACCTTTTCAAACAAGGGACTTGAACATCAAGATTTCGGTATGGGGGCAGGGAGGGCCTAGAACCAACACCCTCTCCCCCCCCCCCCGTGGGGACCAAGGGACACAAGTTAGAGGTAATACATGAAAAGCTCTTGGAATCGCCCAGCACCAAGTATGTACTAGGATGTGATCCTCACCTTCTCCTTCTCCACCTTCTTCTTCCTCTTCTCCTTCCCTGTATAGACTCTCTCCTCCTTTTCCTCTTCTTCCTTCTCTTCCTCTGCCCCTTCTATTTTCCTTCCTCTCTTCCTCTTCTTTTTTCCCCTTCTCTTTAGACTGCTGTCCTCTCCCCACTTCCTCCCCTTCCTGTTCTTTCTTTCCTCCTCTTCCTCCTCCCCTTCTTCTGTTCTTACTCTGAAGATGCTCCTTCTTTGCTTTCCCTCGGGCAGTGCAGCGTTCTGCTGGGGCTGCCTGC